CTGGACTCTACTGTATGTCCAACACTGCTGCAGGCTGAAGAGGCAGGAGCAGCTGCTCCAGGCCCATGTGTTTTACTCTCCTGCTCCTGGTGGAGCTGTGATCTCACCCGGCGAAGGTGACGATTGCCTCGATGCCTCTCCCTGCCCCAGGTGAGGCCGCTCTGCGCTGTGGGATTGGAGAGAAGGATGACAAGCTGGGCAGCTTCACGAAGAAGGCTCTGCAGATCCAGCTGGACAGGTGAGGGGCTGGCACTCTGGCAGCGTGGGGACGCTGTACTGATCAATCCAGCGTGAACTCCAGAGCCAGTGGATGTTTATAATAATTATGATTCCTTACCCTTATATAGTCCTTTTCTGGACACTCCACTCAAAGTGCTTTACAGGTAATGGGGATCCCCTCCACCCCCACCGGTGTGCAGCTCTCAGTGGGGAGGAGGCCTCTGCCTCTCCTTATCGCTGTACCACGGCTCGGTGTGAGAACAGGCTTGATGTTGCCTCCTGCCCATTTGCTTTCCTCTCGCGCTCTCTCTGCCAGCTTGCCCGAGGTGCCCTCGCTTGTGGAGGTGCCCTGCTTGTCGGCCCAGCTGGACGACTCCCTGCTCCCGGGCGTGAAGGAGAGGATCTTCAGCCACGGCAGCGTGGCCTCGCACCCCCCCGTCCAGATCGACGAGCTGGTGGAGCGGCCGGGGGGCATCCTGGTGCGCTGGTGCAGGGTGAGAGCCCCGCCCCCGCCCGCCGAGCCCATGTCGTGGCCGGGTGCCATTCGGTAACGAGCAGGGGAGCAGGAACCAGGAGCTGCAGGACCCACGGGGGCACCACGCACTCTACAGATTCCTGGGGATTTAATCAATGAGGTGAACTAGACTGGGGCCGGAGTTCGCTCCCAGCGGCTGCGTCTCCTCAAGCTTCTCTCGCCCCTCGCAGGTAGACGACGACTTTGTGGCCCAGGACTACCGTCTGCAGTACCGGAGGGGCGCGGCCGGCCAGTACGAGGAGGCCTACATCGGGAAGGAGACGGAGTTCATCGTGCTGCACATCGACCCGCACACCGACTACCTGTTCCGCGTGTGCGCCAGGGGAGACGGGAGGCGCGAGTGGAGCCCCTGGAGCATCCCGCAGACCGCCTGCACCACCCTGGCGCCTCATGGTACGGCCCCCTCCCGCCTGCAGGTGGCGGCGACGCCCACCTCCTCCACACGGCAGCCAGGGGTGCTTACCTGCAGCATTCTGGGGTGGTGATACTTTTGGTTTGCAGTGTAAAAATATAAATAAGAATGTAATCTGCCTTCCTGCGTTTAAAAAAATTACTTATACTTTAAACTGACAGCTTTTTTACACAGTCAAGCACCAACATGGCTGAAATCAAAGCACGATGATCATACTATTACCTGTGATGCAGTACAGTTAAATACAGTATTATGCACCTTACATGTAATAGTAGGAGAATAACTTTGGTTTTGTTTCCCCTTTTTTTATGCTAAAGGCCCAACTACAAGACCTACAGAACTAAAGAAAATATAGAGCTCATGTCCTGATTGGTCTGCTGGTTGTTTCCCGTTTGTTTGCAGTGTTATCTGTTTCTTGAACTCAAAACTGGAGCATTTGAGATTGTAAATATTTCTGAAAAGGATCTAAATAAATTACAATGCTTTTCTCCTAAACAGATAAGGATTGCTTAAAAACAACAATTATAGTCTAAAAGAAGGTGGGAAAACAAACAATAGGAAACCAGATGCACTAATTATAGACCTCTGTCACTACAAAATGTGAACCACAAAGGGTTCGTGTAGGTAGCGTTGTTCCTGCGGTTTCTTATCTTCCTTACATTACAGACCACTATCAGTGCAGAGTCGCGTCTACTCTGGTGCACATCTGTATAGTTGTAATTAATGACGGAAGTGAATTCTGGATAGTGGTATTGATGAGTGGTGACTGTCTTGTAGTTGTTACTCAGTAGTGATATCGGTCTGTAGTTAAGGAAGACGCTGATCTTGGTGCGTCTCCTCTGTGCAGAGTGGCGCGTGGGCAGCGAGGGGTACAGCCTGAGCAGCCGGAGGAACATCGCCCTGAGGAACGACATGCCGCCCGCCCGAGCCGGCGTTCTGTACTCCAGCTCCCCGACCTACTTCTGCGGACAGACCCTCACCTTCAGGTGGGTCTGCTGTCACCCCCGACGTGTGTACTGTGAC